AAGATTCATGACATCATAAAATCTAGGTGTAGATTTAAGATATATCCTGTAAAATATTTGAACTTTTTTAAATTGTGATGTTAAAGAGTATAAAGTTATTGCCATTCTCTTGACAGTGTTTATGGCAGGGGTGTAAACTGGCAGCCCGAGGGTCAGATATGATCTGTTAAGACTTCATATCCGGCTTTTAGCCTTGATGATTTCTTTTCTAAAAAATCAATGTTTCTAACATCTTGTGGATTCAGAAAAAATTCAAACATCTAACTGTTTACATAGATGTAAAAGCTTGACAACAAAAGGGCCTTTGTTAGAGCCTTTTCTTTTAATTGCAGTATGCCATAATTTACCAAATAATATTGAATATAGACCACATCTAATATACATCTATTTTAGTGGCCCTTTGCTGCATTTGAATGTGAGATCCCTGGTTTATGGCAATAGCTTTATAAGATATCATATACAGAGATAACATTAAATTTTGTTTATTAGAAGTATTTAATATAAGCATTGTGCAATATCAATGTTAATTAATAAAGAATTTTTTTACTTTTTATGCTATCAGCATTTCTATTCAAAAATCAGCTATTCCCCATTCTAAAGGTTGGCAAATTATTGTAACCTGAAACTGGGGCAGGAAATTATTGGAATGGAATCTTTGCAGCTGAATTAGTCCAAATATAAATGACATTTGTAGTTCTCCTCAATATCTGTGAGAGTTCACTTTTATTTTTTTGGATTAGATCAATGAAAAAAGACAATGCTACATTTGGACAATCTGCCAAGGGAATGTCTCCCAAAAAGGCTATCTAGGGGAATTGAACAAACTGGCCGATTCTTTGGCCAAAATGGCTGGTACTCTCAAGACGCAGGATACATATACCATGTTACCAAAATCAACACTGAAAAATTCCTTAAATGAATGGGCACTACTTGAATGGCAGGAAAATTGGAATAATTCTACAACGGGGAGACTTTGCCACCAGTTTATTCCCTCTATTACTAATCGCATCAAGGCTAATTACTACAAACCTAGATCCAAAACCACCCAATGTTTAATGGGGCACGGCAATTTTATAGCCTACCTCTACTGCTTTAAGAAGAGAAACACTAATAAATGCCGGTGCAACAATAACAGTGTAGGAGATGCCATTCATTTTATATTCCACTGTGAACGATATGAGGATCAACACATTCCATTCTATAGGAAATGCCTTCAAGAAGGTCATAATTGGCCAGACACTACAAAACATTTTTGATAAGAAAAATCTCTGGAAGTGTTTTGAAAGGTTTATTGAAAGACTTCTGCCAGACTTCTACAGGAAAGAAAAAATTCTTGAGAATGAAAACAAGAACAGACAAGATGAGCAGGAAGACAGTGAAAAATCGGAAAAGTGATGTTATCAGTGATTGATTGATCAGCCATGTAGAATTCTTCTGTACATAGTTTAGTTGTCTAGTATTACTAGACAACTAAACTAGTAGTAAAACTTGGTAGTTGGTGAGAAGATTTACTTAATTTTTAATGTTAAGGCGTCAGATACCTAAAATGAAAGGCTGACGTCAATGACGTCAGCCTTTCATTTTAGGTATCTGACGCCAAAAGCCNACAGAATTGTCATATATAGTAATTAGAACATCAAGGAAGTGTACCTGGTAATCACTTGTTGTTCAAGGCAGAATAGTAAGCTATATGGATTGCTGTTAATGTTCTCTAGAAATTTTTGGATGGATTGTTCACAAAACCAAATAATTAAAATGTCCTCCATATATCTGGTATAAAGCAAAATTCAGGAAGTACTGATGCTCCAAACATCATACAATGAGTTCACATAGGATACCCAAAATGGGACTACCCATAGGTACACTTTCTAGTTTGGAGATATGTTGGAGTGACAAATGAAGTGCTAACTCATCATCTTGACAGTCCTAAAGGATCTACTCTCATTGCACTTGCATTGGATTCCTTTCATCACTTGTCATATAATTACAGTGATATTTGTCTGAATGAGTAATGTTGGAAAGGAAAAAGTTATGTAATTCACAAAAGCAAGGTTCATCAATCTTGGCAGATGGAAAACAAGCAAATGGAAATCGCTACATAAATTGAAGAAGAAAGGACTTACCCATGACTGATTGAAGTTGGAAGCCTTTCCTATGGACTTTAGCAAATGCAAAAATGCATGGTGTAGAAGGAGCCAGAAGGATGACCCTTTGCAAACATAAAATATTAGCCAAAGGTATATTAATGAGTCACAAGATCCTAGATTGAAACTTTTCCAAGAAGCCTTGGGTATATATGTATTCTGTTTCAAGTATACACTCAAGGATAGTACTCCTGTAGACAGTGTTCTGGAGTCAAAGTTGCCAAAGTCAAACATTTTTGGACGAAGTCTTAAAATTTACTATTGGTAAAATGCAAAATAAGAAAAATACTTTTTAGGGCTACATGTTCACCAAATGTCATTCAAATGAAAGACCCAAAGGTCCGGCCCTCCCTTTGTAAGTGACAACTTAACATGTTACTTTGGCTTTCCAGGCTTCAAACTGATAAAGCTAACAGCACTTGCATTAATAAGTAAAATTGGTGACAAAAAAAAAATTAAAAACTGGCAAAATGGTTGTGATATTTTTAAATTTTCCAAAGCTTCAACAAGTTTTCTATAATGTTTGACTGACATAGTCATATAGTTAAATGAAAAACTCTATAAACTGGATACAATTATGAATTGAATTTAAAGATTTTTGAAATTAATTTTAATAATTATATCCAGAATTTGGAGTTTTTTACGACATACTTTGTGACAAATATAATCAAAAATCCCAAAAGCAATTCAAAATAGTTTCACGTATTCATTTTTCTCCCTTATACAATATTTTTCTCAGTTCTCTTGAAAAACATGTAAATGGAGTTTGACTATAAATACTACTGATACTGTACTTATAACAAATTCATTTAATAATCACACACTCACTAAATATTTCCATACAAATAATATGACAGAAAAGTTCTATATTATGTTTAATCATGCAAATTTTTAATCTTAGTTAAAATCAAAAATGTAATTAAAAATTTTTAAATTAGTTCAATAATTTTAAAATAAGAATAAGAATCAACGGATCAATGACACTCAAAAAGACATGGCAGAAATAGGCATATCTGAAGAAGATATCCAGAAAATGGAAAGGTTTAGAAACAAAATAAAGAACTTCAAGGGTTTTCAGGAAAAGGAAAATAACAGATGTGGAAGACTCTTCACTCAGGAGCAAAGACAACAGCAGAACAAGAGAATGAAGAGGTATTGGAAAGAAAGGAAGAAGAACAAAGGGAAGGGAAGAAGGAAAAGCAAGTTATAATTAGTTGTTTGTACATGGTCCAAAGATGGCTGGAATTGACACAAGAAGACAAGAATTTTAAAATATATGTATTCACACTCAAAAATAAAAAACTTTTAAACTAATTTATTAATGATTTTCTTATAAAACAACTTGTTCCATTTTATCGTAATTTATTAACGAATTGTTAAATTAAGACCCTCTCTCTATTTTTATTAAATATATTATTATGTCATTTCTGTAACAACTAATAAATACATTAGCTGTTACAGAAATGACAATAATATTTAATGTATTTAATAAATATAGAGAAATGTTTAGAACTTTGAGGAATCTATATATTCCATCAACCAAATTTTAAAGATTTGTATCAAAATAAATGTCTGCATAAATTCACTGTTTATTAAATTTTTGAGATTATGTTCTCTTGAATAATATTCACTTATAAAAGTGTAATTATGTTTTTATAACTACTCAACTTTTTAACATTCATTTGATAACTGATTTGTAAAAATTCATTTAACATAATTAAAGTCTTTATTTAATTGGCATTTATCAAAATTTCTATTTTCTTCTTAATATCAAAAAATAAATATTTCCTTACTTAAACTTGTAACTTTTTAATTTGTTAACTGTATATATCATTCTGTACTTCTATACAGAGTTAATTAATAAGTTAAAAGCCCTCAAAATATATGAATAAGAAGTCAAATGACTACTTCCTTATAATAAAAATTAAAGTTAACTGTTATAAAATTTAATATAAATTAAGATACATTTTTTTCATTTAATAAATGCAATGGCAGAAAGATTAAACTATTTTTAGGATTGTATATAACAAAATATGAATAAGATAAAAAAATAAAATGTCACACATCATTTTTTATTGTATTTTAATTCATGAGTCCAGTTGAAGATCTTTTATATTGCAATTTTACTTTTTATAAAAACAAATGTAAATACATTTGATATAATATGTAAACTGTTTTTTATTTCCTCATTCATTTGTTACATTTTGAATGTTTTATTGTATTTTAACTTGTGTTATTCTTTTAATTAATGGTATTTGTTATTTGGAAGCAGAAATCATTTATCTTCAGACTTTTCCACTTGTAAATAAATATAAAAAATAAAAATAAAATAAAAAAATAAAAATAGTTTCATAAAAAGTTTGAAGCAGATAATAAAAGTGAATTAAGTACAAAAGACTTTTTTGGCTAAATTATAGCTATAAATTATTTAAGATATCCTGTGTTAATATATTTAGATATTATGTATTAAAAAAACATCATATATTCAAACTTTAAAAGATATATATTCTAATTTCTTTTAAACAAGTCATAAATTGATTTATTAAATTAAATTATTAAAATTCATTCGATTCTGAATATTTTAAAAGTGAATGTTAAGAAAAAATTATTAAAATTATTTTTATTAATTTCTTCATATCTAAATTTATGTGCAAAGCAAATTTATAAAATCTCGAGATTTAGTTTGTTAGTAAAATTTATTTTAAACTTTACATGCAAATAAAAACTGCTATAAATTTATTTTTAATGAAATATTATATATTTAGTCATGCATAAATAAATATTAATATATTTTCACATATTAAAAGAATATTGGAAAGTGCAGATAAATTTAACAAGTGGCTAATGCTTTGCTACCTGAGGAAGAAGGTAAAGCTTTTGTAGAACTGCTCTTCAAACTGCGTTTCCGTTTTGGAGCTTGGAACAAAATATAATTAATTTTTAACAGTATATTTTTAAAAATAAAGCATAAAATATTTTAAAACAGATATTATAACAGAATTATTGCAAATTATTCTATTATAATATCAAAAAGTTATTGCCATATCATTTTCAAAAATTTGAAATTATGTATGGTTATTTATATAAGAGAAAAATATTCTTGATAGATTTCATTTTAGTTAATTAACAGTTTTCATAATTAAACACTTAAAATAATTCAAAACCATAATATTTTTTATAGAATAAAAAGCAATATATAATGTAACACTTGATGTTCAGTAATTATTTTTAAACATTAAATGACATATACTATACTGTACATGCTGGTGTACAAGTTGACATCAACATTTTCAGCTCAATTTAGACTTAATTTAGCTTAATTTAAAATTAAGCTTAATTTAGACTTAAAAATTGGATTAGATCTCTACCTATTCTTACTCAAATTTTTGAGTTTAACTCAAAAATTTGAGTAAGAATAACTTTCCCTGACCAACTTTGTACAAATTCCCTAATTCTTTAAGTCTTACAGTATGGCACATCAACTAAATAAAACAGTATTTGACTTACTATGCTCATATGCTATTACTTCTCCAACTTTTTAGTTAGTGTTTTTTCTAATTAACAGTTATGTATTTTTATAATTGCTGAATTATTAAAATTAAAAATAAAAATGTTTTTACTAAATTATAGTAGTTTATTCTGTTATTAATCCACAACCATAAATCTACATACCTTTTAAAAAAAACAAACACAAAAAAAAGCCATTATTTATTACTCATTAACAAAGCCTGTATAATCTGTGTACAAAAGTATTAAATTTATCCTTTAATGAATTTCCTGAACTTTTATAAAATATTAATAAACTGAAAAAAATTCACAAGTTGTTTTGTTATGCAATTAAAATTATTAATATGAAAAAATAAAATAATTTTAATTTAAATGGTATTGTTTATCACTTTTTGTACTTTGTAAATTTTTGAGGAAATTTTGAGTCATGAAAAGGGGTGCAGAATATTTTCAGAAGTTGTATTGAACCACATTATTTCTTGCTGCCTTCAGATGGCTACACTTAGTCATGCATATTGTCAGCAAAAAAACTCAATAAGACAACCAAGGAGGCAAATTTCCTAACTTTCCAGGTGTATAGGAACCTGTATAGATCTAATCCAACTTTTAAGTCAGTATGTCAATCTCCACATTTAAGACCGGCTATTGGTAATTTAGAACCAAGATGTGAATTTTGCATATGGTAGCCTATGGCTAAACTATATAAGACTCCTGTCAGATTCATCAAGACTAATGATATATCTTTCAATATATGATATATGTACTGCATTATATAGTTAATACAAAGCAGGATGTAGGCAAGATCTACTCAAAACACCAAACAACCACTGAAAACATGATAAACTTCTTACCAATCTGAAGAAGTAACCAACCTTCTAAGTAACCTTGGCAAGAAGTTCATTGTACCGGTTCATAAAATCTACCAGTAAACAAATTGAAACTAAAATCAACACCTCCAATAAAATATTGATAGTTTATACAGTATAGTATTGTTACACATGTTATATAATAGAAGAGCACTTTAGTAAGCCTTTGCTTTGTCTTTTTGCATCAGTGATATATGACTGATGCATTTTGGAAACAGCATGTAGTGTAGTATTCATTCATACTGAATTTTTATTATTGTATTGATCTCTAAGTAAAACAGTTAAATAATTTCACAAAACTTGAATTTAAAAAAAAAAAAGGCAACTTACACACCAGCATATATTGCATATATGTATATACATATTTTTTTTTTTCAAAATAAGTCAAAATAGTCGATTTTGTGAGAAGTATATGAATGACATAAAATTAAAAATAAAAACATTTTAAATTTATTACTACAAGTAGTCAAATATTTTATTAAATTTTGCTATATAACAAAATTCATAAAATGCTTATTATATACAATATATATATAAAATAAACATTTATACAAAATTTTTGACAATATATATTAATTCAATCTCATTAATACTTTAAAACTAAATAAAAGATACTTTTCAAAGTACACAAACTATGAACTCAGCAAATTTTACATTTTCAATAATTCCATGGGTAATACGAATACAATTTTATTTTATTCTTTTTGAAAAATCTTTGAAATAGATATGAACAATAGTGAATTTTTACAAATCAGCATTTCAAATTTTTTGTATGGATTTTATTTAATGCTAAAAATCAAGGAAATAATTTTATTTTCACAATTTGAAAAAAACAATTAATACTTTTAATACAAATATTTAGCTAATTGCTTAAAATATCACGATTAAATTTAATTAGTAGCCTTACAAAAATTCTACATCAATTTTTTTAATGGAAATGTACAATGTGTTGATGACCAAAACACCAGCTAAAAGCTTTAAACTGTTGAAAATCTATTCATGATATATTATTTAAATATTTACTACAGTTAAGTTAATCTGCTCATAAACCTCTAAATTAAATCTTTAGCATAACAAATAGTAAAATTTGATTAATAAAGTAACAGAAATTATTAATGTCTACATAAAAAAAAATATTTTAATGATTAAAATGAATTAAATTAATATTTATTGTATAAATACATAAAATTAAATAATATATAAAAAATTTTGAAAAAACTAACATTTGTTCAAATTTGATGTCTTATAATACTGTATTGTAATAAATGTTTTAGGATGTCATTTTCTAATATGCCATATTTCAAATGAAACACATTGAGATATGTCACATATTGTGCATACTTCATACAGGCTATTATTTTTACTTTTAAACAACAATCTGTTATTATTATATTTTTAAAAACAACACTTAAAAAATAACAAGTTATTGAATAACAGTGTATCACTGCTTTCTCAATAAGCTTAAGATGGCAAGTTGGGGTATATGTGTTTGATAAAAATGTTTAATTGTTTCTATAACAAGCATTGTGGTATGATAATGTTGGAATGCATTTGGTCATTATTTTTATAATCTCAACACAAATTTTACACCATGGTATTTTTAAAATGCCTTTGAGAAAAAATTTCCAGCATAAAAAAAAATTGAAAAATTCCAAAATGCATACTCTTTATAATGTGAAATTTCTTGTTATGGCTGTTTCTGTAAAGCAATAACATATTCTGGTCACTGAACATTTTTTAATCTTTGAGCTAACAATCTATTATGAATGAGTATGAGTACAATCAATCAGTGAAGAACTTATACAGCCAGACCAATAAAAATATTTCTTTGAATTCAGACTGGATCCCATGGAGGAGCACAATTATATATATTTTTGTCATCTGACATCTAAATATCATTATTAACAACAGATACATGTTGCATATATAATGTGGTACATTTTATTGTATCCAGTGGAATACTAATGTGGTACATTTTATTGTATCCAGTGGAAAACTACACATTCTACAAAAAAATAAAAAAATCATTGCACCAAATATGTTAGACATTAAGGAGCCACAAGATAAAATTTTCAGTTTCTTCATAGATGGTGCTACAATCAGTAAAAATGGAGTCAACTTTCATTTTCTTCAATGGAAAGCAGCAATGTTTTATTGCACATTCTGATTCTATAATAAAAGTAAACTTTTAGATAAAATACTTTTTTGAAAGATGCACTTATCAGAAGTTATGAGCATTTGAAGTTTTATATAGCCACTGCACAAAGCACACAAATATGTGAATATCTGTGAAATTTGCTGAAAAAAGAAGAAAATGCTAAAAAGTCATTAGGAAGAATTATTATTTCATGGAATCAAGGTCAATGTTTTTTCTTTATCACATGGTTTTTGTATCAGTTCATTATTTGAAAAAAAAAATGATTACACAAAGAAAATAGTAGCTCTCTAATGAGTTTTATAGCATTTTTCTTCCCTTTTTTAATCAAACTTCAGAGATATCCAAGAATTATGCATACACTGTGTAACAGCTGTGTAAAACTTCAAATGCTTGTAACTTCTAATAAGTGCATCTTTCAAAAAAACCAGCAACATTCCTGGCAACACTTAAAATTAGATTTGGTGCCATTTGTTAAGATATTTTATTTAAAAAATCTTTTTATATTTTTAACTATTATAGCAAAAAGCTTAATTGGCAAAAAGCTTAATTGTGATGGTAGGGATGGGTTTTATAAAAAAACTGTAAATACAGTGGTACCTCAGGATACGAACGCCCCAGCATACGAAATTTTCAGGATACGACATGAAATTCGAACATATTTTTGCTCCACGATACGAACAAAAACTCACCATACGATGTTACATTAGTTCGCAGCGCCATTTTTTTATTCACTTCTGTTCATCAGTCTCAGTCCGCGTGTTTGCTTCGTCGTGGAAGTATCTCGCTCTATAAAGGAAATCTCGAGGTATTATCAGAAAGTGACTGATTTTATTGAAAAGAAACATCCCGGAAAGGTTCACACTGGCCGTATTGCTGGTCAGAGTAATGACATTTGCCTAAGTCATTTTAGAAACATTTTAAAAAGTAGGCAAAGCCAAACCTCTTTGGATAGATATTTTACCAAGCGACCTCTATCCAGTGGAAGTGCTGGTGGAAGTGAAGGAAAGAAAGCAAAAAGCAGTGAATAAAATATTAAAAAATATATATATATAAAACAAAAAAGATAAAAAAATTAGTGTTATATTATTTTTAAGTTATTGTTACATTATGTTATGTAAGTTAAGTTTTAGTATCATTTCCCTTCTCCCTCTCCTCCGCCACTAGTTTACACCTCCATCGTCGTCTATCCTCAAAGGTAAAGTGCAAATAAAACTACATTTTTTTATCATTTATTATTCTATTATGTTTATTTATATATTTAGCAACTACAAAACGCATTTTTCAGTGTTTTCCTTACTATACTTTTTTTTAATGTACTACTTAGCTTTAATTTGAGTGTGTTTTGGTGTTGGAACGAATTATTTTGTTTTACATGTAATCGTATGGGGAAAAATGATTCACCTTACGACATTTTCATGATACGACTTCAGTTTCGGAACGGATTAATTTCGTATCCTGAGGTACCACTGTACTAATGTGACAATGCACGAAACACCCCCTATGCAGGACTGAAGGGTTGACACTGTGTTTGCAATGACTAAATCGTCAGGACTGACACCACTGTGTCTTGAGGACAGACACAGAAACTTTGATGTTAATTTCGTTCGTGTGCGAGCAGCCACGTTTGTAGGCAGTCATATTCGGAATGGGGGGTCCGAGAGACAGTGCTCCCAAAAGAACTGTACACTACAACTCAATTACAAAAGAATAATACCCATTTATTTATATAATTATTTGAACATATAACCATAAGGGTGGCTATGCAGACATGAATTTAGTAGTAAGCGAGAGGTTACAAGTGATATAGTTCTTGCAAAGGAAAACCATGAACAAATGAGAAGTGAGAAATCTCACTGGCATAAGCAAATTTCTGGTTGTCATACATATCTGACAGGGTTTGACATTTATCACATCTTGCCTCTTCTCACCACATATTCTTGCTCTCTCGGAAAATTTGCTCGCTTGCATCTGCATAGTTGCACACTAAGAGCGAGAGAGTGAGAGAGCGTTTACACTTATGCATGTGAGGATAAATACCTGTAGTCATTATATTCTTGATAAGCTGGTTCCTTGTCCTTGATTATATAGATGGCCTCTAGATTCGTCTGGATGTTAGACATTTTGATAGTTCCTTAAAGATCCTTCGAAAGCACGTTGACCTAAGTGGCAATTGGCGGTAACGATGGGTAGTTGGGAGATTAATCCAAGATGGGAGTGAGCACTTAGTCAACCAATTTTTGAGACGAACTCCCTGTTGTCATCAAGTTCTCTCATTCTTTTATTCTGGGGATCCTCCCCTTCACTGTTCATGCCCTTTTTTGGAAGTTTTAAAGTCTGTGTCCAATAGTGATTTTTTTTGTTAGTTCCTGGTGACGTCCAGATGTGTCACCTCTGGACAAGGAAGCAAGTTCATGGGAAAAGATACAATCGTATCCTTTATAATTTTTTTCCCTGAGTTTACTCAATTTTACTCATTATTAGTGTTAGGGCCTGGACTTGATGAAAAATTTTATTCAAAACTCTTCGTCAAGTCCAGGCCCTCACATTAATAATGAGTAAAATCATTAAGTCCGACCCTACCCAAGATATGACACATGATCCCCTTTTATCTCACCACCCTCTCTACCTTTAACCATCAAAATTTAATAGCATCAATCCCCTAACATACAAACCTCCCTGCAAAATTTCAGAAATTTTCAACAAAAAGCACAGGTATTATTAAGTTTCAGAGAGAGTGAACAAAATCATGCCATACAAACACACACTAACAAACTCTCAATTTCTTTTTTTGCATTTCTCGACATTTCAAGGTTCCAAGTCCATAAATGTAAAAATCTGGGGGGGATCATTTTTTGATTGATTGCCATACTTTCCCTCTGTTATATCAAATAGTCAGGAAAGTAAAAATGGGGGTTTCCATTGAAGAAAATGAAGTTGACTCCATTTTCACCAAATGTACCATCTGTGATAAAACTGATAATTCCATCTTGTAGCCCCTCAAAGCCTAATTTTTGGTACAATGATTTTTTTGTAGAATGTGTATTTTTAAAGTTATTTCACTGGATTCATTAAAATGATCCACACTGTATATAATAAATTTAATAAGATAAACAAATAAGGTTATGTATTTTGCTTTTTTTTTTTTTATGATAAAAAGAGGTAAACCTCTGACTATCATCTAACTAAAGAATATAGTACAATTATACATATAACAACAATTGTTTTAATAATAATAATGAAGAAAAGAGAGCTTTTTTCTTTTTAACTTTGAATTTTATTAGAATACAAAAATCCACTAAGTAGCAAATAAATTGGAAAAACAAACTTAATCAATGGTTCATCTCCATATGAATAATTATTTCTCCACTTCTTAATTAAAGTCAGAAAAAAAATTCTAAATTAACAATTTTAATCAAATTCTGGTGAAAAAAACATTATAGATATCCTTAAAATCATCCCAAAATGATGTTTCAATCATTTTTCTAAAATGAATAAACTGCTGAAATCAATACATTATCAGAAATAATATTCTTAAAACAGTAAAGATAAATTTTATTTAAAACCAATAGTTTACTTTGAGAGAAACAGTAATTAATTTCACATACCCATTACTAATAATGCTATTTTGAATCCTTTACTTTAAATATTGAAATGACCAGATTAGAATTCACCTATATACCTACAACTAACATAACTTATTATATCAATACTTAACTAATATAAACTTTCATAACTGTATCCCAACTCAAAAATGCAATGAATAAATTAAAATTTCAACAATATCAGTAAATACTAATGGCGTGCAGATTGTGGAAACTGTGGAGCACTAGTATTTTCTAAAATATAAATACATATTATGCAATTATTTTCATAAACAAGTTCTTATATCTTTGTTTCATGTCAATGTATCTATTTTAGAATTAAAATAAATAAACTACTTATTTTTGTCATTTCCAGTAAATGTTTATAATTTTTATGGAAACACAGCTTCCCTATTGCCAAGTGTCACCACATGCCACTGGTAAATATAGATCCCATAGAGATACAACAATTGTGCTTGTAAATTTTGTTATACTCTAAATTAAGAATCATAAAATTTTGTATTGAATAATTTGAAATTTGTAAATTACTGAAGACTTTAATTAATGAGATATCTAGTTCATAATGCTATAGCTTACATGTAAAACAGTTTCATATAAGAGTAATATATTCATAAACTGAACTTTCATCTAATGGACTAAATGGTTTAAAATTACTAATGTTTTAAATCTAAGAATATTTTAAAATTGAAAAATCTTTTAATTTTCACTGTGGTAATAAAATATGTTATAATAAGTATATATTAAAAATAAGTTTTAAATCTTCAAAAATCATTTAAATAGAAAAAAATCTTCAAAATTAGTTAGAACATTATAATTGCTGAGAAGTATATTAAAATATATTTTACAATAAAAATGAATACAAAAATAAGAAATAGAAAAAACAGATCATACTCACTATTTGAACTTAAAGGTAGTTTCGGTGTTGCAAAAACATTTCGTCTGACTGGAGGGGCACTGCTCGCTCGTTTGGAGGCTGCTTTGTTTGATGACTGAAATAGTTTTATAGACTATTTAAATTATTCTCATAGTTTCTTTAATACAATAACATTTTTAATATTAAAAAAATATAAAATACTAGAATGGACATAATTTCCTGAAAATGAGAATAATTTCCATAACCTTTTCTTAAGGATTATTCTGCCACTAGTCAAATCACCAAAAGTTGATAATATTTTAAATCTGATGATAAACTTCCCAAATCATTTCATCAAAAGATGATCTCTATTTCTCAAGAACTATGCCTTCTAGTATTCTAACTTCTTGGCACTCTTATTTTTCCAAAAAACCAATATTGACAACAAAATAATATACTGTGCTTAATTAATATTCGGTATTCAAGGCAGATATATGCACCAACTAAAAGTTATTGGCAGTGGTGCATAAGTACCAACATTTCCCATTTGAGAAATATAGGATTTTTAAAAAGATGATGAGCTATAAAATAACAGTAATGCATAAGCAGAAAAAGTATGGCTCTGTACAGCAGTGTTAAGTAACATTTCTATAATATTTTAAAAATTCTCTGGAAAATTTAAAATTGAACTTAATGTTTGTAAGTTGTTTTACAATTCTGTTTTAGTCTCTCTCTTTCCAAATGTGTATAATGTTATAAAAATTAAAATAAAATTTTTAACAATACTGGCATCATGCTTAGAAGTGGAAGAATTTGGACTCTTTTACAGATGTTAAAGTATGCATTTTATATTAGGAGGCTGATTTCATTGTCAATGATGAAATAAATTTGACTTAATTTTCGGTGGTGGCAGATTGATGGGGAGGTAGTTTACACCAGTTTTCACAATATTTGATGCAAGGACACCTCCCCATCAGAAATGCAGAAGAGTTAATTACATCCATGGCAACAATATCTTATATAGGAGGGAAAAATAACAATTTCCTCGATCCATGGATGTATCTCAAATTCAATGACCAACAAACAACCTGAGAATTATCCTAAACAATGGACTCATTAGCAAAAATAAAAAATAAGCAATGACAGATACAAGAGAAGGGTAACAGTAGCTTAATTAAGCCCCCATTGACAATATATATATTTGTTCAAACTTCAAAACATTGTATTAAAAACACTTATAATGACAACTATAGTTTATCAGACTATCTGCATTGTAATCGTTATGAACATGTTGTGAAGGTCCAAAACCCTTTTGTTTTAGAACAGTATTACCTTTCTAATAAACCTTGTGATTAGGTAAAAAGGGAAAAAGGGGACCTTCTGCAGTTGATAACCAAAACGCTCTCCTCAAATAAAAAAAAAAAAGGGAAATGTTAAAATATCAATAAACGAAATCTCCTCCATTTGTTTAAAGGTAATTCTATAGACATTTATATCAACAAGACAGGAATAAGAGATGTTTCTTATCACCTCTTTGGTTGCACGTGACACGTGGTTACAGCAATAAATTGCCTCGTTCGTAGTCAAACGCGATGTTTGATATAAACAATATCTAGATAGTTGACCAGGTTAAAGAAATTACTGTCAGCTGAATGTTAATTTATGGATGAGAGCCGTCAAACCTATAGAAATTTATATTATAAAATCATATCTTCTAGACACTGATATCAATAAATTAAACAAACTTCTTTGTGTCAGTTGTCCGTACAAGCTAGATCCAGACATCAACACACAAACAGGTATGTGTATAAATCATTAATGATGTCATAGTTCTCACCCCCTCAAAAATAGTATAAAGAGGGCTTGAATGCAGTCCACAAGGCAGACACCTCCAGGGCAGACATTGACTGCCACATCTACTGACCAATACCGCCATAACTGCCGTGACAATCCAGGAAGTTTTTACCAAAGACCCATATTACGGATTGGGAACTTAGACGTATTTATTTTTCTTTTGGATATCTATTTGTATACTCTCTCTCTGCGAAATCTCTCTCCCATCTCTTAACTTAGAGAATAGAGATTAGATGTTTCATATGAAAGACAAATCATTGTCACCACATAGAATAAAATTTTTGTAGATCTTCAACTTAGCCTTTGATATGTACAATTTTATAGTTGTTTATTAAATGTGTTATTCTTGTTCAACCTGTGTACTCGTTTGGGAACCTGTCAACTTACTCATTAACCTCCCCACTCATTTCATTTTGCCCTCCTATAAAGCCATCCTCTGACAGAGCCGCCGGTAAGTGGGACAACTAACCCTCTCGGTTCTCACAATGTTAATAAAAAGTACTTATTAATTATTCAAATATTTTTCATTTTTGAGTTAGTTCCCCTTTAATTACTTCTGAATCTGTCACTACTGATTAGTTTCTTTGTAATAAAATCTTCCTCTTGCTATAGAATCCAATGCTACACACATTTGACCCAAATTCAGACAGGCTTGGCCAAAAGCCATAAGCAGTAATAAAAAGTTGTTAAATTCAAACTTAGGCATTTATTTTCACACTTGTGATTTTAATATGTATATTTTTGTTCCATCCATACTATGGCTCTTTTTGAACCCTAAAAATTAATCAAAAGTAATCTTCAAATATCTTTCAACTCTATGTTTAGACTTATATACAAGAAAAAAACACAATGACAAGTCTCAAGGAGTCAGAATACATTTAACATATTAATGTTTTTGGAATAGATTCATCCTATCTTCAGATCTAAGTGATATTACTAAATTAAACATTTTCTGATTCCTTGAGATTTTTCAGTACTTTTTGCATGTTCATTTAATCAAAACATCTGAATTTTTTATCCAAATGTCATTTTATATTTCAGCATTAGCATTTGTCTTTACAAAATTATAAATAAGCTATTAATTAATTAAAAGTCAGAAAATTAGAGAAATTATAATCTCAAAGTAAAATCATCATAATTGTCAGAATATAAGTTAATTACTAAATTAGATATATATACACACACACAATACATACATGCATGCATGAATGCATAATATGTTTAGGATAATTATAACTAAGAACAGGCAATTCAGAGCTTACTGTAGAAAAATTATTGGGCAAATCTTGACAAAATTTGGAACTTCTGTCTCCATAATGTACAGTGCATAATTACATACATTTTCTAACAAATTTTGAGAATTAAAAAACAAAGTGCAATAATTTTATTTCAATTGAAATGTACAATTGACAGAGATATGGCTCTGTGTGCCTTTCATTTCCAATGCTTTATAAACTGCATTTGCTGCACAACACACTTGACCTATTCTTGCACTTTTAAAATTCTGTATTTTAAAGTAGGTAGTTTTATGGACCATCAAAGCTTGAAAAAAAGAAAACAGCCCTCGTAGCTAGATAGGAACATTGCTTTGACAAATGAGGCTCTTTAGGTAGCCCTTCACAGCTAAAAGTCACAGTGGTTCCAATCCGATGATTCTGGCAGGATGACATTGAAAATGATTAGTTAATCACTCTCTTATGCAAAAATGTTACAGTAAGGCCTCCATATTTAAGCTGATTCATGTTGATGTGTTGAAGCTGATTGTCTGAGTACCACAATCTTTACACAAGATTGTGGTACTCAGACAATTTCTCTGCTGCAGCACTGGAATTATGAAGTTTTGAAGCATATCTCCATATCTAATAATTAACTAGCAACTAACTGAGCATGTTACTGACCCAGATGCAGAGTTTTCTTACAAGGAAAAAAAAAAAAAAAACAATGATAAAGAATGCTATGAAACCACACCAAACCATTGCCTTTGGTGAGTGCAATGGAATTTGTTGGTAAACATGTAAATTTTCATTAAATCAAATATGGCAATTGTGCGTTCACATCACTCCACAGAATTTGCCAGAACCATTGCATCATCAACCATTGTATGAACTAAAAATCATGGCAAATATTTTCTGCTTATCATTATCATTAGAAACCAATTCTTGACTGTGGGATGTTTCATGTGTATAAAAATGCAAGATTTTTTCTGTAGTGTTAAACTGAATATTTAGCATTATTCAGAATTCAAATATATTCAGTCACAAAGTAATTGGTATTTAGACAAATACTAAACACATGTATTTGATATGCAAACTAATACTTCTTCAAAGATAAACTATATGGATAAATAACCTCTTTTTAGTTTGAGGAGAGACAGAGAGAAGGAAGAAAGAAAAATACAAGTTAAAATGAAAAGAACACTTAAAATTCAATGTAAAGGATATTTAAAAATATTGTTATTTAGTCCGTTTCAAAATAAATATAACTTTAATAAATGACCTTGAGTAAATATTTATTAATAGGATTGTAATGAAGAAACAGTAAAGCTTTTCCATTCATAGGAAGTAAATGATTTTTTGATTGTCAAATGCTTCAAGTTTTACTGAACATACTGTATTCACTACATCTACATTGGGGGACTGTCAAAAAACATCAGACCTCAATGACAATATTTTAATTTTTTACTTTTATCCCATAAAAATAACTTTAAAAAATTAAAAACATACAAACTTTTTTATTAAATAGAAAATGATGCTATTGTAAGGTGAAAAACCTTACAATAAGTCAGTGATTTCCAAAGTGTCCTTCCTTTTGTTTAATTACTATTTGCAATTCAGCATAGATGTAATTATAAAATAAGTGAAATGGAACAAATTAAAAAATGGAATATTTAAGAAATAATCTCCTAAACTGCAAGTGTTGAAAACAGAAATCATGCCAAATGTCAAACTTTTTCATCAATTCTATTTTATTTATCAAATTATATTATTATTATTATATATTTAATTAACAACAACAAATGTTAAAATACCCTGAGAAAAATTAAATAGAAGTATATAGTAATGCTGATAATATTCATAGCATAACTGATATTTGAAGAGCTATCTGGGTCAAGATGAGTCTGAAATGGCAACATATTAAGTTCTAGTGGGAAATGATTGCCCTACTATATATAATTTACTACTCTACATAAATATGTAGAGTAGTAAATTATAATAATTATCATTATCATTATCATCATCATTGCTGATTTTGCTGAGAGAGATACATGCAGTCTCTTCAATATCCAGTTATACGATTTCTAGAGTAAAATTGTATTGCTCTTATTTGCCATAAAGAAATCACCTATAATTATAAATTTCAAATCAAATATGTTCTCTTATCATTGCATGCATTGCATCCACACATTGTATACTTCATTGTTTATTTTTAACTACATAAGCTATTTGACGTTGGAAATTTTTATGATTTGCACTCTGTAATCAACAGAATATTTGTTCAATAAATGAATACTTCCGTATTATCTAGTAAGTTCATATTTTCATGAAGTTATCAAAATATAATTTCAAACAACTTTTGTAGTTATCACAAAATTTAAATAAATACTGTTTATTTCTTCCACATAAAATTACTAATATAAAATATAAAGGAAGAAATCTAATTGGCTTATCAACTTACCATTTCTATTTCACTGCTGTCTGATTGCTATGTCAAAAGCAGAGAAAGTGATATTGGAAAGTGCATTATATAAATTATAATAATTTTTAATGTGCTAATTATAATTCTTTTATAAATTAAATTTTAAGAAACTCAGGCCAATATCTTTAAACATAATTAAAACTAAACATAACTAAATATTTAAGTACGGTATTTATTACAAATTAATATAACACTGGATATATAAATTATTCATATATATTAAATTTACAAAATTTTGCTTACTTGTGATCTGGAATCAGTGTCATCATCAGCTTGATGACCTATATAACAAAACAAAGTATTAATTATATTAGTATTACATTTATGTTTATTATTATATTTACACATTTTAGAATCTATAGTTTTAATTTTCAATATGACTGATTCTATCAATAATTTTCATTTTAACTAACTTCACACATTATAATTTTATCTGCCAACTTTCAAAATATTTTGTTTGGTAAACAAAAATCGAGTCATACCTTACTCCAGAAAAAATTTTAATATAAATAAGCATTTTCAAATACTTATACAGGTAACCCCCCCTATAACACGGTAGTTACATTCCAAAAAATTGCTGTGTTATGCAAATTCGTGTTATACGAAACAAAGAACTAATACGAAAAGGAGGGTTTGGTTCCAAAAATTAAAAAACATGCTATTATATTTTCGTAATTAAGATAAATATCTTTATTAAAATTTTCTTAAGTGATACATAATAATATAAATTAAACAATGTTTTCTTTGTCATCACTAAAAGCACTATTAACCGAGAGCGTTTGTTTTCTTTTTGGCAAGTTATCCTTATCCTCTGAGTATTTTTCTGCATTATCTTCAGATCCATGCTTTACCTTTTGCAAAAAGTATGTAATTTTAGATTGCTTGCTTCTAGTTAAAAGATCTTTATAAATTTCCTTATATGGTGCTAAGTACTTATGAAGAATAAAGCAAGTATGGAATAAGGGAAAAACATCTGGCAACAACAGAAGCAGAAGCGTCGAGATCTGGCAATACCGAAACAAGTTTCGAGAAGGACCATGTGTGTCGGACAGAAGGAAAATAACATTTACATACTTTAGTATTAATAGTTCATGAAAATAATTTTTGTAAACTATTATTTCTTAAGTATGTAAAAATTTATTACATTTCATGTTGTACGAGGGTTTTACCCAATTCTCGAACCGTGTCAGAGTGAATCAGTGCTACAACAGTACAGTGTTATACGGGGATGGTACCAATTCTTGAACTGTGTTAGAGTGAATCCGTGCTATAGAAGTGCCGTGTTATACGGGGGTTACCTGTATAGCTATTAACTGGTTTAAGAATTAGATGTAGATTTAAATAAATAATTTATAAATTTAAAATGTAGTACATAATATATTAAACTGAATACATAAAATAATATTAACTAAAATAAAATAATAATATACAAAAACTTTGAAATTAAATATTTCATTAATACAAAACCAAAATACAAAAAGTTATAGTACATATTGCATTAAAATGCAAATTTACAATTTAATGAGTTATTTTCATATTTAAAATGATCAATATCTTTAGTATTTGAAAAGTTCAAAATATTTTTATATCTATATACATGGCATAGTTTGAAAAATTAGTAATATTGTCCCTGAAATAAATGTAAAGTCTTAATTTTTCAAGCTATCTCCATATGAATTAAACCAAAAATAAATTCATAGATATAATTAAAAAATCATGTTCTCATATTTTTTACTTTTTCCCATGATAGATTCAAGTATATAGTCAATGTATATTAGTAAAAAACCTCACTATCTACTGCATGGAGATCTCTGTATGAGATCTAACTTGACTTCTTTTAATGGTACACTTCTATATTATTATATTATTTTGTTACTTATTTGTTATTAATTTTTAAGTTATATTATTTTTTTTTATTTTATATTATTTTATTTTTGTTGTATTTAAATTTTATTTTTTATTCTATTCTACTAATATTTATTAAAAATTCTTTTCACTCAAATATGTTCTATTTTGGAATACTCAACTGATGAAGATCTACCAAATTAAGTTGAAAATGTTTTTGTTTCATTAAACTTTTTGCTGGAATTGATTTCTAAGGTGTAAAGTTATTTTCTAATATTCTCTACAGTTTCTGTATTTTATTACATGTCAATATTGTTAAAGTGTAAAGTTTAATATTTTAATATACTCTGTACAGTTTAATTAATATAATTATAAACATATATAATATACTAGATGGTTATGTCACATTTCATTTAAATATTTGTGATATTTAACAAAACTGATAATAAACATGTTTAATAACAACAAACATCACAAAGCCTGATATGTATACAGAAACATCACCAAACAATTGCTTAAATACACATGTTTGTAATGATCTTTTATATGTTAATGAGAGAGAGAGAAATAATAAGAGACAAATGAAAGTTTTAATTTATTAAAATAAATTTTTCATGCAAACATTAATAATGCTTTTGTAAAACTATAATTTATTATCAATTTTATCAATGATTATTTTAGTTTTTACTGTATATTTAATTTTTAGTTTCTTACTGTAACAAAATATGTTCTAATGTAATTTTAGGTTTATGAAAGTTTTTGAAAACACCAATATTTACTGAACCAATAATTTTGAAAGTTGATTATGAACCAATAATGTTGATTATGAATGTCAAAAGAATCAGTCATCATTTGAGAACTGCAAACTTATTATGAAATGACAAAAATAATTAAATGAATTGCAATTATTAAATTATTTCAACTTTTAAATTTGCTTAAACAAACTGCATTTTCTTTAGCTAAACAATTAACATGTACTTAATACAAAAACAAATTGTTTTCAATTGCAAACAATTGCATCATACCAGAATTACTGACTAGAAATATAAGACTTCACCATTATTTGGCATTAATTATGCAAACTGCAAAATGTCTATTATATAGTTGTCTCACAGGTAAAACCAATTTTAATTTGATCATTAATTACTGTTTCCATTTGTATCAGTTATACTAATATATTGCTATATATTATCATCTTCAAACAGATTTACTTTCACAATGATTATCGCAAGTTTCTTGAAAATACTGCAGAAAGAAACAGTAATTAATAAAAAATGAGGATGCTTATTAACATGTTAAAAGTCCTAAAATAGATATTAATAAAAGAAATAACATGAAATTTCCTGCTTAACTATAAGCATCAAGCAGAAAACAGCAAGTTTTACAGTTTTATTTTTCAACCTGTAATGACAATATAATAAAACTGTTTGGTATTGAACTGAATAGATAAAGAATAAAATTTATTAGGCAAATGTGAAATTCTAAACTCTAATTCTTAAATAATAAATGGCAGAAATTTATAATTCTAAAATTATGTATGAATTTATTAAATTGTCCAACAGTTTTTTTCACTGAATATATATATATATTCACTGCAAAAAAACTTTCTCTGTTAATTTACTATTATTATTATTATCATCTTAATTTCAATATTATTGTAACAATGTTGTCTAACAATGAGTCACCACCAAATGCAATAAAGTATATTGCAACAAACCCCTAGTATAACATCAATCAGCATATTTTAAGATTTTGTGACTTTTAAAAATGCTGTGTTTGGCAAAATTATACATTTAAAAACACTTATAATTTAATATTGATAAATTTGTTTTCAAAATATTTTAATTCTTTCCAAACTCCCTGACAATTACCATTAAAACCCTCAGTTTGAGGGCTATAATAATGAACTTGTCTAACAATGAAACAAAGTGCAAAAAATTATAAATTATTGTAATTTAAATTGCAATTTATTTAACAAAAATGCACTTAAGTAGCTTTTAAACAATACTTTATTAGTATAAGAATAATTGATTAGTACATAAACTCTTCCCTTTTCCATTCTCAGATTCAATGTGAAAAAGTTCATTTAAAAAGTTATCCCTTGTAAGTAACATTTTAGAAATTCCTATATGCACTATATCATGTATAACAAATCTGATACATTTAATATATACTGTATTATCTTTTATTTATCTTTTTGAGTAAAATTTTCAATAAGACTTAGAGACAATAAAACAAGTCTTTTTTCAAGCATATCAGTATATTTTATTTATTTTGATAATAAATTATGAATAAAAAATAACAATGAAGACATTATCTAGTTATTAACAATATTTGTTTCCATATAAAATATCCATTTCAGTTTAATTTATCTAAAAATTTACATCTTGGAAGTTCTCTTATGTTTTTATAAAAACCTTATAATATATGAATTTATAAAACTCCATATTAATCTTAACATAATACACATAATTAAAACGTTTGTGTTAATAATCTACTACAATTCAAATTATTTTAGTTATCAATTTATATTAAAAAAATCCAAAAAAATTTCATCAATTTTGTTAGTCATCTAGTTTGTCAAATTGTTTTAAATATGTTAATATTTGAATATATGTATAAATAATATAAACTAATGAAAACTTTATATCTGATAAAAATGTAGAAAGTTATGAATAAAAATTTCAAATATTCTAACAATTAAATTTATCCATTAATGCAATTTCAAGTTATAGTTATAAATATTTTCCAATCTATTGCTTTCATATTTATTTCAGTGAAAAATAAATATTTTAATATATAAATATATACATATATGCCTACTAATATAATCAAAACGTATAATATTTATCCTCACGGAAAATCAATACAATCGTATTTTTATTATAAAGTGAACTATATTACAGTTCTATTTAAATTCCAATTTACAGGGATTCAATAAGTAATTATTTACACAATTTTCAAGCATAATATTCAATATAAAGTTAGTAGTATATAGAAGGCGACCTTGATGCGACAGGTTCTATGTCAGTCGTCTTAGACTGCCTGACAACTTTTCTAATTGGCCTTATGCCAAATATCTAGGTACTGGATTCCGTTAGCAACGGTCATCTGCCGATTTAGATGCTTTTCAACTCCATTTAGGCATAATAAAGAATTACAATAAGTTCCAAATCATTCCACATTAAATAAACAATTCGAGCGTATAACATAATGCAATTTTATTCGTGTTTAACGTAAATAACTTATACCTAACTAGAAGTAATATATCTTTTTCCTCTTTTTGTTTTTTTAATTTTTAAGCTTATTTATTGTGTGATGGAATTTACGATAGACAAACTAAACGTCACTTTCAAATTTATAATAATGTCATGCAATATTTTCATCCTATTACTTCATTAAAAACGTTTAAAAAATTTTATAGTTTTTATATCTC